TGAGGTATGCTTGGTTGCTGACAGTTGTTAGCTATTCTGAATAAAGCTGCTGTGGACGTTCGGGACAGGCCTCTGCGTGGCTGTAGTTTTCCTTTCTCTGGGAAAATGCAAGTGTGACTGCTGGATTGTGTGTTAAGTGTGTGCTTGGTTTTTTTATTAAGAAGCTGACAAACCCTTTTCCAGAGGTGCTGTACATTTTACATTCCCACCAGCAACAGAAAAAGACTTTTGGTATCTTAACATTCACATTTGCATTTTATTTGGTTTATAGTGGAATTCAGATTTCTCATTTGAAAACCATATTAATTTCAAAATATAGTCTCCTTCATTCAGTGAGTGTGGGTGCCTGCTAGTGCCAGCCTGGGGAGGGCCTGGGGACCAGGCAACACCCCCCCCTTCAGAGCAGACAGTGCTGGGTGGGGTGGGGTGGGGTGACCCTGTGATGCCTGAGTGCCTGCAAGGTTGACTCGACTGCTCTTTGCTCCTTTAGGAGCTGAGAGGTGACTCAGGTGACGAGGACTGAGGGAGTATTTTATGAATAAGAGTCCAGGGAAGTCTTGTAACCTCCGACCTTTTCACTACTTAACTTACAAATTACATTTTTGACTAATTAAAAAGAAGTGGCTAAGAAGATCTCTAAAGAGTCAGCAAGTTAGAAGGCAAGATGACTCCCTGGTGTTGATGTTGCCTTTGAGCCGCTGGCCTGGCCTGTGCAGTAGCAGAGAAGTGCCGACTCTCTCTCTCTCTCTCTCTCTCTGTCTCTCTCTCTCTCCTCTCTCAAGTCCTCAAGTGAGGATTAAAAAAAAAAAAAAGTCTATCAGAAGGTTCTGCTACTTAATTGCTGTGAGGCCCCGGGCAGGTCACTGAACCACTCTGAGCCTCAGCAATGAGACAGGAACAGTCAAGACCTCATGAGACAGCTCCGTGGTTCCCACAAGGGTGTTCACAGGCAGCCCTAGAAGTGTCAGCTTTACTGTCTCATTGCTGTTGGTCATCCGGACCTCTTCCTAGAAAGCTGGGTCGCTTGTGAGCAGATTCCAAATGCGAATCCACAAGCATTTATCAAGATGCCAGGGCTGCTCTCGCCCCAGGCTTTGCTCTTCTTTGCTCCTCGGGGAAACAAGAACAGGTGGTGGTGATGAGGGGCAATGTCCGAGGGTGAGGTCACCAGAGAGGGAAGTTCCCTTCAGACCACAGAACGAAGAGGCAAGGGTCATGTCTGCCTTCTTACCTTTACATTCCCGTGCTTGGCGCAGAGTAGGTCTCACTAAATATCGGCTCAGGGAACCCATGAGATTCACATGGAGCCGGCCCCCTCTTGCCCACAGCCTGACTCTCTATGTGTTGCCCTCCAGTCCCAGGCAGTCCTAGTCTGGACCAGGAAACATCTCACCCCTCAAGCCAAACCCTTCAGGAATGCCAGGCCCTGGAGTAAGCCCACCCTAATGAGGCCCCGGGGCCTTGTGGCTGAGCACCCCCAATTCCCACCTGGGGTGCTCTCCACATGTCCCCCGCATCCCTCCTGCAAGCCAGGGGTTATGCCTCACCTTACCTTACCTTATAGAACTGACATGAACAAACTCACTCTGCCCTGGGCCCGGGGTTTCCTACTGTCCTTAGCAAGCACATCAAAGCCTTCTAGTTGATCGTTATCTGTGTTCCTTAGCTGTAGCCATAACCATTTTTGTTAGCAATGGCTGAGTGGTGTGACAATTAAGATAGATATCAAACTGGCCCCTGGCGCTACTGCATTCCTTGTCCCTTTGTCTTGTCAGTCATTAGTACCTGAGTTACAGTATAAAAAGCACTGTAACAGGTCTGATAGCGGAGAACAATCCGTGCCAGTGCTGGGTCATCTGTCTGCTCCGACCCTACATCCCTGCAAGTAAAGACCCCATAATAAACCCTGTTATATCCTATGGAGGTGCCTGCTTCATTCTGTGGTCTGAAGGCACCTTCTCCTTATGGAGCCTTTATGCCTCCGCCCCCCTGTCAGACAGAATACTTCCATCACCACAAGTCTGCCTCCTTGCCCCTTTTATAATCACAATAACTCCCCTCCTGCCCCACTCTCTTCTTAGTCCCCAGCTCACTAATCTCTCCTCCATTTCCTGCCTTTGAGAGGGGGGAGTTGTGGGACAGGTCGCCCTGGAGGAGGCGTGCAGGGACCCTGGGGTTGGAGCCACTGCCATTGCTGCTGGCGGGACAGTGACAGGGCCTGGGAGCCAGGAACTGTGGTTGCAAACTCCAGCCCGCAACACAGAAGGATGGCCTTGAGCTGAGAGACCCAGGGAACTAGCAGGCAATCATCCACACCCACCCCGCTGGTCTGGACTTATAGTCCTCTCCTTCCCCTGACTGGCCAAACCATGAGCAATGTCCCCTGAATCAGTGGCTTCTATCAGGGCAGACGGGATGCAAGCAGCCTGCTGCAGGTCAGCCAGCGGGTTCACTGCAGGGAGGGGCCCAGCACATTCTGACCCGCTGGACCCGGGGCCCCAGATAAGAAGCCTCACCGATAAGAAGTGCCCCACCTGCCGCCAGTGCCCTTCCAGGGCTTTTCATCTGGAGAACTTTCCCCCGGGGCACGGGGCTCGGGCATGGGCATGGGGCACTGGGGCACGGGCACGGGGCATGGCTGGGCCTTGGGAGGCAGGAGAGCTTTCTAGAGTGTCATCCAGATGGACAAGCAGAAGGAAGGGGCCGAGGAGGGAGGGGTGGAGGACCCTGAGCCAGGTTCCCTGGCCTTTATCCTTCTTATCTCAAACCTCTCCTCCTCTGCATCCTCCCCTATGTGCCTGCCAGCCTTGCCCCTGAGCTGCCTCCTCCTGGTCTGCCCCATCCGGCCAGGAGGCCTGCTGCTGGGGGTCCACACAGGCCTGACCTGTAGCAACAGACACTTGTACCCGGTTACAGAGCAGCTTGAGCCCAGCTCCCCACCCTCCTGCTTCAAGCTGCACCCAGAAGGCGCCTGGTGGGCCCCGGGGCAGGGCCGCAGTAGGCTCCCCATCCAGGGGCAGGTACCGTGGGTGTGGGGCCCAGAATCTTCCCACCTATTTCAGAGAAGTCCATCTCAGCCCTTCGCCCCAACTGGAGTCTCAGAGCTTTGTGCTTCTGCCTCTGCTCTGTTCGCAGCCCCCACCCGCCCATCCGGACCCTCTCTGCCCAAGTGATGCTGGCGGGGGGAGAGGGGCTGTTTATTTGAGCGTCACCCTCCCTGACGGCACATTTTTGTGTAGTTCTTCCTGTGTGCCAGGCCACGTGGTGTCACAGGACACGAAGGGGTGGGGAGGAGGCAGGAGATGGGAAAGCCTCTTGGGAAATCCTGTCTGTTCTCCCAGGAAAGCTGCTCCCGGGGGCCTGGGAGGTGCAGGCACAGGAGCTGCACAGGGACGAAACCAATGGGTGCCCGTCCTCCTGGAGGAAATGCCCGTCTGTGGCTGGGCCTCAGTGGCAGGCGCGGGGGTGTCAGGTGGTGCCACCTGCATGGGAATCAGGCCCAGAAGATGAGAATGAGCAGCTAGCGAGTGAGCAGAGGCTAGCAACTGCCTCCTGCCGCCTTTCTCCAGTTGCTCAGCAGCTCGTACCAAGCACCTGCTGTGTGCCAGGCTCCGTGCCCTGCACTGGGGACACAAAGGCCACAGGGGACACAGAGTCCTGCATTCAGGAGCTCAGGGTCTGGGGAGGAGGCAGCGAAGAAAGACAATGCCATGAGGGAGGTCACTGAGGGGTGCCCTGGGGACTTGGTAGTTCAGGGGGCTTCCTGGAGGAGGTGGCCTTGGTCTGGTCCCTGCCCTAGAGGGTCTGCTCATAGACAAGGTGGGGGAGGGAGGTGCGGAGCAGGCCGTTCGTGGGGACTGGAGTGAATGGTGATGCCTGGGTCCTCGGTGCCTGACAAAGGACAGGACACAGCCGCTGGTCACAAAGTGTCTGTGGGTTCCTGGGGGAAGGAGGAGGTGGGGGCACCTGCCTGAGTCCAACTCTAAGACTCATCTTAAAAAAAGGTTTTCCCTGCCCCCGCCCCCCCACCACCCCGCCCCATGCTTAGTTTGGGTGTTGCTGTTTTTCAGGGACAAGAAGCAAGGTCCTTTCGACTTTGGCAGGACAGGAATGTTTTTATTATTCCACCTTCTATTACCCTGTGAGCCCGGGCTGGTTAGTCAGTCAGAAGTTGGGTTAGTGGAGGCCAGGGTCTGAATGGGTGGGTGTGGTCCTGGGGAGGAAACGGTGGCAGGGAGGGCAGGAGGAAGGCCAGGAGGTCTGGCGCTGACTCACCTCCCCTCCGGCAGGGACATCCTGCCCCTCCCGGCGGCCAGAGCTCACCCAGGGTGGGCCCTGATTTCCCTTGCGGGCAGCCAGCCTGGTCCTGAGAGCTCTTGTGGGCACCAAGGTCTCCTTATATGACCTGGTCGGCCAGGAGCAGCCTGGACAGAGCTGACCGGCACTATTGTTCCTGGAGTGGACCGGATGGCACAGGGGCCCTCACTGGGGACCAGGGCACCAGGCTGGCAATTTCCTGCGAGCTTTAAAGCCACAGAGAGAAATTCTCACTCCATGAGTCAGGACGAGAGAGGGAGTGTCCGGAGGTGTCCTAGGTTGAATTATGGAGCATAGAACTTCCATGTAAATGCAAGCTGTTTGGGAGCCTGAGTTCAGGTCCAGGCCTGCCACGTCCCAGTGGGTAACAGGAAGAAGTCAGTTGGCCTCTCAGAACTGGTTTAGGAGGTGATGATGCTCAGAAAGAGCCCCAAGGCTGCCAGTCCCCAGACACCGGGAGGAGCTGCCGGGGGGGCTGTAAGCATCACCCACGGGGTCGGCCTTGGAGCTGTCACAGGGAGGCCTGCAGCAGAGGGAGCACAGCCAGGCACCTGGCTCCCTGGGACTTGATCTGGGCCTTTTCCTCCCAGCGGGAGGCTTCGTGGTGGTGGAGCAGCCCGTGTCCACCCAAGGATGAGCGGGGAGAGGAGATGCAAAGCTGTCATGTCATAAAAATGAAGACAAGCTGTCAAAAAGGAATGCAGTGGTGGTGGGTGAGACCCGCAGTGCGAGACTCGGCCAGCTATGCAGAAAAACCTGCCACTGGGTATCACCTGTGGAGCTCCTCCCTGCTTCTCCGCTCCTGGCCGGCCCCACCCGAGCCCACACCCCCAGCCTCTGCCAGGAGACTGGGCTCTGCAGACCTGAGATCGCACGTCTTTGGGGCTCCTCCTTTGTGCTTCACATGGGGTCATGGCTCGGGCAGCATCTGTCTTCAGAACCAGGTGGTGCGTAAAGTTCACTCTGCTGCAGCAGCTCAGCCCTTGCCCCAGCCTCTCACCTGCCCCAGCCCCTTACCTGCCCCAGCCCCTCACCTGCCCCTGCCCCTCACCTGCCCCTGCCCCT